GCCAAGGATTAGGGGTTAAGTGTCCGCCTTAACGGCTGCATTAGTGATGTGCCGATATCGATGGAAAAAAAGTAAAGCTTAAGAATTAATAATAATTAGACATTACATGCTCTTTTATATTATTTTTCACTGATAAAATTTATTGCAAATTTATGTTACATCATTAATTATCATATTATTGAATAAAAATAAATATTAAAAAATAAAAGATTTTTCAGATTTTATTTTAATAAATTAAGAAAAAGATATTGTGAGGTCAAACATAATAGGATTAATTCTAAACACGTGTTTTTGTTAGATTTATTCTAAAATAGTGCTTTAAGACATTAACATATACAATTATCCCTACAATATTTTATCTAAGAACAAGCTCATAACATATTATTTCTAAAGAATAAGTAAGTAAGCAGTAAAGTAAGCAGCTAAGAAATATTTTTTGTATCAAACGTAAGACGTTCCCATCACTATGTCTATAGTAGTGTAGTAGCTAACAGTCCAGTGTGGCGTTTTTATTGACACTCGTGTAGTGACAAATAACTGAATTCGGGAAATATTACATCTTTCCTTTTATATTATTTAAAGAGATCTTAAAAACGTTCAATAATTTCATTAAAATAAATCTTTATCATACATAGATATATAATTTTACTTTGTATAAAATATTAAATTCTTATTTCACTTAAATGAGAAAGTCCATCAAAATATTGCATTTGATCGTATCATATTTCTTAATTTATTTCGACCACTTCACAAAAAAAGCCGTGAATTTTCAATTTTACGTCCAATATTTTTCTATTAAGGGCTGTCCATTTCCCCAGGCGAGGTATCGTGTAACACACCTACAGCTAAGAAGATAAAAAAATTCAAATATCTCTAACGAACGGCCAATTCACTAGAGGGCGCTATTTTCCTCTAGTTATTCCCAATATTGGATATCAGTAACACGATTACTGACCCGGGCCTTAATTCGATCATTGTGGCCGCCATTTTTTTTCCTTCCTTAGTTTACCTGTTCATAAAAAAGCGGCAAACTCATAATTCATTTACATTGTTTGTAAAAGAATTTAGGAAAATCAAAATTTAATCCCCGTACCTAATAAATCTATTTGTAGCATTAAAATTTGTTTCTTTAAAAAAAAACTAATAGAACATTCTTTGCAATATAGTAAATATAAGAATTAATAGCATAAGTATAAACAAATATTTCAAAGTTAATTCATCATATTTGTATATTTTATATCGGTTAATTTTATTCAGACAATGTTTAACGAATATCTTTGCTACTGGCTACCGATATCTTTAGCTCCCTTTGGACAAAAAAAAAGATAATCAGGCGTTTTTGTCGCTTAGAATTACGTCGGATAATTTGATTAGCTATCGGTGGGCGAGAAGCGTACCCTTAAGAGGTAATCCTATTTTATAGGTACGCCTTTTAATTTGATAGTCTTTAGCTGGCTTTTTATGGCACCATCTGAATTGTTACGTATTTTATTTGTTGATTCTTATTAAGTGGTATCGGATTTGCATTGTCTATACTGTACAAAGGATTTTGGTGTTTTTAAGTTTTATTTGTTATGTGTAAGTATGCATTAAAAGAAACTATAATTATATGTAGCTAGGGTTATGGTGACGTCATTGGCAATGTTGACATAGCCCGCCTTTCGCTTCAATGGCGTCGGGGCGGGTCGTTTGGCTGACCCTTTACTTATAATTATAATCTTGATTTAATACACCTATGCTAAATACATAAATGAACGCACCAACTACGAAAAAGCCTAAGGGTCACATATATTAATTATCAGTAATGTAGACTTTGTTTGAATATATTTTATAACTCTTTAAAATATTTATAAATATAGTAAAACAATTTACCACATCAAATCTTAATAAAGATAAAAGAAAAAGAAAGAACTTTGACCGGATAACTCGTTTTATTCTTGTCGAAGCTGTAATAAGCCAAAGATGGTGTGTAAACATACAAAAAGACAAGAAATAAATCCAAATAAATTATATCAAACAATTTAATAAGACTAAAACAACTTGAATGAAGCGAATCGGAATTTGCCGACAAGGCTTTATTTGAAAAGGCCTTTGAACTGAATGTCCATTTCCGACAACTGGAACCATTGAATAACGAGTTGTCAAAGAAGCTGATGTCAAAATTATGCTTTACAATATAAACAAAGGTTAAAAATACTCTTAATACATGTAGAACTCAAACAAGAATGGCTTTACTGATCTTGAATGATTCCAAACTTACGTAGAACACGTATAAAATAAATAAAGTCGGTTGAATGAATTAATGCAATATTTTAGTTAGAATTTGTAATAAATTTATTCTAGAACGCACGCAAATTACAGGCAAAGTAGCAACAATAACATTTGAATAGGACTCCATCGAGAATTGTAATAGTATATTGAAAGTGATGTTTGATCGAAACTTAGCTAACATTCCGCCCCCGCTTTCCATATTATTATTTTTATTTGAGTTTATTGTGGTGAAAAACGTTTGATTTCTCCCACAATGGGGATCTGATCCCCTGCCAATTAATATTATCCACGGTGGTCATAGTGTCAAAGTTGGACATATTTTTTGTTCTCCATAACGGATAGATCGATCAATCTTTTACGAAAATAATACCTCTATGTATCTATAAATTTAATATGTATTTCTATATCTCTGATAAATTTATTGTAAAACTATAAATAAATGTATTGTAAATGTATTGTAAATGTATAAAAAAGTTGGAAATTGACCATAGTTGAACTACTGCAAAATTTGACAACTCAAATTAACACGCCTTCACAATTTTAGAGGGACAAAATGTAATTAATAATTAATGCGACGACGGTCTACTCACAACTTCTAACACACAAGTTACTCGTGTGACACTTTCTGTACCAAAAAAACAAAGCACAGATTTAACTGCGATGCGATGTTGTAACGAGCTAATTTAAACTTTTCGGTGAGTTTTGAAGGGTGGCCCTCCCTCACCTGAGGCGTTCGACTAGACTAGACACGAGTTTTCAATAAATCACGCCTAGTAGGACTAAAAATGACGACCACGTCCACATGTGGTGTTTACTAAAAATAAAACACAACCCATCAATATTATTGGACGTACAAATACTATTTTGGTGATGATTATGTATTTATACAAGATTCCCTTTTAATAAAGCTGAACCCTTATTATATATTCGTCGCCTTAAATACCCAAAACTAGCATTTAGTGGGTGTCCGCGCATGACCACTGTCCGGTTAGAGGAGGCGTGGCTACCTGCGGCTGGTTCGATTACTGTTTACCCCAAAACTTGAGTCGATAGGGTTCGATTTTATAGCCAATTGACGCCATTGTATATGCTATACTGATTTCCACATATAACTTAATTGAAATCGACTCAATTTTTTTTCCATTTTTTTTGTTTCTTTTTTGTTTGCAACGTAATAATATCTTCTCGCCTTAAATCAACGTACTACTGAAACGGAAATAAGGTGGAAGTTAAAAAGGAAACGATCAAAAAACCAAAACCATTTGCCACGAGCCATCGCCTAAATAAATTCCTGAAAAAAAATCTACATCAATACACGACACATTTACATAATAAGCCCCCTAAACAAACCAGGTATGACATTGTAAACAAAACGATCGAATCATGTAGTTTTTTCGCTATATTAATTTAGTGCTCCGGTTACAATCGACCCCTGTACATTATTCCCCAAGAAAGTACGTCCTACTTTCCTCACAAAGAGATTTAAGGAAAAATAATAATAAAAGCGAACGGAATGTAAGGGAGTCTGCATAGTACTTATGTAAAATTAGCTCGTACGTCTTTGATGTGCCGACCAATTGTGTGAGTCTTGAATATGAAAGTGCCTTTATAATACTCGGGCGTCGAAGCCGGTGTCGGCTTATTTATTAGGCAATTAAAGAGCTATGTGCTCTATATGAAATGGGTGGTTTCGTATATTAAGCATTTCTAATATTGTATAGCGCGGTGAAATTAAATATTTGTTAATATCGGCCAGATAACAAAAACTAAACTTTTTTATAACTTACCATACGAAAAATATTATACGGTATAGGCATGCCAAAATATCAAAAACATCAAAATTATATTCAACTTTATAATCAAACCAAGTAAAATATAAATAAAAAAATATTACAAAACAAGTTGTATAGCTTATTAATTATTATTTTATTTATGTCCAAATTTATAATTTAATTGTATTAAAGAGAACCGTAACAGATATGGACCCCATCTGTTGCGCCAGCGATTAACTTACCTGTCTTAACAAAAGTGTAAAATAACCCTCCACAATACCGCAGGACGAAACAGTTATTAACATTAAAGTGGTCAATACCACATCTGACACCTTGAGTTTGGAGACCGTGACAGACAAGATATAATTAAATATAATTCACCACTTGAAGGGTTGAAAGTGTCATTCTCCATATGTCGTTTAATATTTAGACTTGTGTAATTGGTCTTTAATTGAATGCCTTTTCATCTTACGTCTGTTACATGTGCAATCAGTTGTTCAAACATTCATTTTATAGTCTACCTGTATAGTACAATAATACAATTATGAAGTAATGTTACTTTATAAACTTTTATAATGTAATGTGTGTGTTTGTTTGAGTCATGATCGATTCATTGCAAAAATTTTACTTAGACTTAGGTTGATAAATATTCACTTAATATTTACATGTAAAAAAATATATTTTTACTATCTTTGCATACATATGTTTTGATCGATTAGGTTACGCAAATATGAATTGGTAACCTTGTCAGTGCTGGCCTAGTGGGTAAAGGCCCGCCTCTTTTGCACGATTTATAATTTCACAATTATAAGTTTGAAATCACCAACCCGTCTTAAGCAAGCGTGGTGCTTAATGCTCAAACCTACTCCATGTGAGAAGAGGCCTTTGCTCAGCAGTGGGATCTGATAGGTCGATGATGAACCTTGCTAAATTGAAATTAAATTATTTTATATACAGAGCTAACAGAATCAATTTTTCTAGCGGATGCGGACAGCGCGGCAGAAGGAGGAGGCTCTTCGTGCTTGCCAGCGGATACGCTGACATGTGGAGCCTGCAGGAAGGCTTTCGCGCTGGCCGATATAGTGCGCTTCATTCAGCACAAAGTCTCCTCTTGCGATAAAGACCTCACTTCATACCACTGCTATAGTGGAGGTAAGATACATACATGTGTATGACTTTATTACACAAAAATGATAATAGATTCTATGAAAAAATGTAAATTTGACAAAAATTTATAATTCTGTACTTAAAATTTTTATCCAAATATTTATTAATAGCAAAGGCACTGCTACAAATCTCTTAAATATTTTGGTTTGCTATAGGTCCAAACTCGGACCAAGAAGATGGAACTCGACCAGGACAAATTGCTTCTGGCAACACCAGTGGGCGAAGACCCTCACTCCTCACAGCAAGGCGACCTCCCAACAGTAGAGTGCATACTCCTCCTCTGGCCAGCCCTTCAATTGCTCCACCAGATTTACTTGAGGATGGTGGGGCATCAAGTACTCCTAAGCGGCTGTTGGATGGTAAATAAATTTATTAAGACTATTTATATTAAATTTTTACATACAACTATTTAAATTTTAAAAAATACTTGTGTTTTTAATTTAGATTTTTCTAGATATAAGTCTCTAAGATATTATAAATCAAAATAATTTCATAGAAGCTGACGCAGGAGTATCGACTCCGAAACGAAGAGCATCTACTTCACCGATGCCTTCGAGCTCACCAGATGAAGATATTAAACCCAAAATTAAACAAGAGCACATGGACACAACCAGCTCACCTGAAGATCATAAGAAGTCAAGAACCGAAATGGCTGATGCTGAATCTAATACCATGCATAGTGGTAAGTCAAATATTTAGTTATATAGTCTGAATATGATATTATAAATTAAAGTTAAATATTAAAGTTATTTACTACAAGTTAAGTTGCCTCGTAACTTCTAAGTTAAAATCACGTTCAGAATAAAAAAGAATTGTTACTAATAAGATGACAATTTCCCGGTACAAAGCTGCATAGTGTCATGTTTAGATCACATTCTATTTAAAATGTTTGTGTCATCGCGTTTCCTTTGTCCAGTATTTAGGGTTTTATTAATGATTTCTGTCAAAGGATTCAGTCCTTTGAGACAATTTTATCGTTACGTTTAGCTTCTGTCCTTTATTGTGCAAGATGTTGCACAACGACAATGGCGTGTCACGAAAAATTGGCTTCGTCATCTTTCGGTCATACATTTTAGATTGGAGTCGGCTAATCCTGTCACATCACTAACACATTCGTAAAAGGTGTTCTAATATTGTCAAAAGCGATGCATATGGATATATTGCACTTATTCATTTTATGTAGTAATATATATATTTTTTCAAAACATAAAGTAATTGTATCTTATATTTATAAAGTAATACTCGTTATGGAAACAGAAAATACTATCAAGAATACCGAGTTATTCTTTTAAAGACTGTGCTTAAACCCTTTGACAGTTTATCAGTTCTGTAAATAAGAAAAGAATCAGAAATTGGGAACATCTGTATATTCGAACAATCTTGCGGGGGTGGTTCGAAAAATAATCTATCCGAGAGTATAACCCTTTGTGCGAGCAGATGTGCCGTCATTTGACACTTTTGTATTAAACCGTTGCACAACAAAAGCTTTCTTAAACCCGAAAACTGTGCACCGTTCAAAATTTTCGACCCGCATTTTGTCAACTGCTTTGTAAACCACTACAACTTTAAGCGGTAACAGTTAATTTCGGTGAATCGTTTCACAAAATAATGCCCCACAAAAAATATTCACGCTCCGAACGTATGAAAAATCTAGAATTGGAATGAAATTCGAATACAGCCTCTATAAAGATTGCCGTTGCGCTATCATAGAAATGTCAATTGCAGGTTGCCTCAACACCAGTTGTTTCGGCTTATTGAGTTTATCCTAAACGTTCATATTAACCCCTTCGAAAGAGCTGTCAAACCAGCTATATTCAATAATGTATGGGGGTCCGGTTATAAATAATATAATATCATATTTATATCAGACTGATAACCAGAAACAAAACAATCACTCCCATAAATCTCTAACTTTTTAAATTATAGTCTCTATAAGAATATAACTTTAATGATGACAGTTAAATCCTGACCTCGTGCCGGCTAAAAAAGGGATGTCGATTGAAATTGTATTATTTTGTACATATTAATTAACCCCATCGCTTTATGAACAGATATAGGGGATGCTTTAAAGAAAAAAATTATTTGCATGAACGCACGATTGACGTACGCTCATTGTTATCTAGTGCCTTTTGTGATGACCCTTATGTTAACCATGATGCCATGATTACAAAACAGCCAAGGTTTCAAGACACTCGGTTGAATATTCAGCAGTTACACTATGTGTTTATGGTTTAATGTCGCGAGGCAACAGCTGCGTATTAATAGATTTTCATATGACGAACTGTGATATTATAATTGTCAAAGATGCTACCGAGTCTCTATTGTGAGAAGCGGTCTTTTATAATTTTTAAAAGATAAAAAATGTTTGGCGTGCTCCTGACACGTACACGCTCATGGGTTTGCCGTGACCTACGGAACTTCTTTGACTGTGACACAATGGTTGAGGATATTTTTAGTTTTTGTACATAAGGTAGCTAAGTGGCGGGTTTTAATTTTAGATTTGACGTGTAGCTTTTCGGTTTAAAGGTAGGGGAAAGATTGTCTCGTGCCTAGCGCGTGTCCTTTGAATTCTTAGTTGAGATATGTACGAGTATTATAAAATATCATTACGTTTGACATTATGCGTCTTTACTAAAATTCTATTATATTTTTGAGAAATATACATATTTTAACAGAATCATTGTTTGGTTATGCTATGTCCACAGGATTTCTTTTCAGTCATTAACATCACAAAACACGCTAAAAACGGTGACCGTCAGTATCGGTATCAAATTAAATATTGTAACAAGTGTTTATTGAGTCCGATGTTTGCTTCACAAATTAGTGTATTGTTAGTTATGTATCGCGTCTGTACCATCATATATTGTTGTAAACTCCCGTATTTTATATTGTCTTATTTCTTTCTATGTCATCTGGTTTAATTACAAAGCACCCCTTTTGTGACATTGCTGATAAAAATTATCCTTTTATACTTAAGCGTACGGTCGACCGCACAGTAAAGCATTCGGTCAACAGCGTCTAAACAACAAAGCTTTTTACGAATTCACTCGTGCGAAATAAATATTACCACAAAAGCGAAGCAACGGTTCCCCAATAAAGATAAATCTCTTGTATTTTGTATACTAATTACACATTCATATACCGTTTTCTTGATCGCTCCCGTAAATGATTTCTTACTAAGTCCTATCTTAGATATTTCCATATCAAGACATGTTTTCTTAAGGGTCGGCCACAAAGGGCCATCTCGACGCCCAATCTTTAATCCTATCTCGGAACCTTTGCGGGCAAATTTAAATTTCTTTAGAAATATCGTCCTTATTATGTATGTGCGGGTTTCTATTCCTTGTGACATTCGTGGGTGAGATAACGTAAGTTAAGTCCGAGAGGAGATTGTTAAGAAAAAACTACCGCTAACTTCCACCAGATCCTATCTTCGAATTTTTGGTTGTTGAAATTTGATCTTAAAGATGTTGCTCTTAAAATTGTAAATTGCATATATTTTTTTGGATTAGTATAACCTTATTTTGTATATGAGGTGATAAGTCTTTATGAAGGGTCAACCTTTTCTATAGTAGACCTCACCCTTTTAGTGAAAAGAGTCCATTGATAGCTGATTTAGGAATGGTGATAATGCTTTCACTGTGTGTAAATATATCATACATCATAGATTTATTCTATGATAGATTGTTAAGTGAAAGCAATTTCTCAGTTTGAGTGGCTTTTGTGTAATCAATGATTAATGGCGATATTAGCATAGGCATTTCTGGATCCCCTAGGATTGGATTTTTTAGGTCATTGTTATTTGCACTAATTGCGCGTGTGTGGGTGAATTGAATAGTTGTCATAGTTGCTTTGAGGTCTGGACATGGGGTCCGAACTGTATCGACTGATCAGTGGAATTCCTTAATTAAATTTGGAATTCCTATTTATGTTATATAATTATTGTGATATTATTATTGCCTTATATTTATTCCTCCTATTCGTCCTTTCTCGTGTTATGAACGATATTAGTAAATACATTTGTTGTCTTCCATAAATCCAAACTCACATTTAGGAATCAATTTTAAACCGCGTCCACTTTGATGTCCCTCACTCCCCAGCGTTTTATTGTTTTTCCTTCATTTTTTGTAATATGTGGTAATGGTCGTTCCACACGTGTCGACAACGGTTATTACGAGTTTAAAATAGCCCCACACATCTGGGCAAAGACGCTTGCGGACCAATTTTGAGATTACATTTCAGTGTCTTGTAGATTTTTGTGATTGATTTTGTTTTTAAAAAATACGCTATTCGATAACCATACAAACCTTTATTAAAATTAACTCTCATAAATATATTTTAAATAATATTTTAAATCCAAACATTGATACGTAATTAAAAATAAACGGCTTTTGATTCGATAATAACTTTTCATTTATAACGAAATATATAATTCATATATTTTTTATCGGAGCGTAATTTTCATAAAAAATTAACATACCTATTACCGAAGGCGGAACTGATTCCGGTGAGGGAGGAAACAATTTGCGAAGTAACGCGATAGTTTACAGAAATCACGGCGGGCGTGCCGCTCCGTGTGACGTTGCCCTAATTGATTACAAATTACACCAATGTTTGCTTAAACCTTAATTTGATAACTAAACTATATACATTTATTATATATAAGGAATATTATAATTTTTATTACATAATTCATTGACTATATTATCATTAAATGTATTTTACAAAGCATCTGTCGGGTCATTTGCTAGATATTAACATATACCTACATTCATAACACTTGTGTACTCAACAGACGCTCGGTCGAATCGGTCATCTTATTATTTTAGCTGTTTGCTTACGCCTGGAGGACATTCGACTATGACATCAAATGCGTCATTAACTATCGCCATGCCTTTGTGACTCTTAATACAATAATTTTAAAGACTACACTAGCTTAAAGTATAACAGACTTTTGTATATTTATGATATAATTCATGAAACACATTGCTTCTTTAGAATAATCAGGCTTCAAATATGAATCATATTATACGTATATTTAGACCTAATTAGTATATTTAAATACATAAGAATATCGTCATCTATTTATGTTTATGACATATAAAACGTAGGGCACTAAATATTTCATTAAAATACTAAATTTGGGTATAAACTCGAGTATTTGTTATATCAGAATTTTTATTTTCCACCGCAACATGTCACAATTCGCGAGGGCGGAAGGTGGTCATTCAGTTCGGGGCGACGGACTTCCTCGGCATAACAAGTCGCTTATAAATATCGTATAGCTTCAAAATAGGTTACCTTTATTATTTAAATTATCACCACGTCATTTGTTAAATACATCGGGAAGTTTATATAAATTTCTATTTTTTATTAACGGTATTTTTTAAAAAGATACTATAAAATATTTTTGTATTGTAATATAGTCAGTTTAATAGTGATTTTGCAAAGAATACCTTGGCACGTCTTTGTAGGAAAGTTGGCCATTAGTTCGCGCGATGGCCGCAAAGGCGCTGGCGTGCTAACAACTGTCGTACGGAAACAGCGCGCCGGCTTCCGACTATACTATATACCGATATTTTTCGAAACCTCTTTTATCTCATGTACTCTCGATGATATTGTTTTAAAAATGATGCATTTTTGATGAAAACTAGGTTACAATTTCGGAAGTATTTATCCTCTTATAATATATAGAAAACCAAGCATATTCTTACGTATTTAACGCATACATCAAATGTTAGATTAACTGTTCATTCTTATATGCTTAAATGCTCTTACAGATAAGTTTAAAACCGCACGCCTCTCGCATTAAGATGTACATCGGAACAATAATACAATACACATATCTATAATACACTAAAGAATAAACGAATCTTTATAATTTTAAAGAAATTATAAGAAGACAATTATAAATAAACGGCGGCTGTGTTATCTACCTTACTTAGTATTAACGGGAGAGAAAAAAGTAACTGTCCGTAGCTTAGGGGGTTGGAGGGGGTCCAGACTAGGGGGCGTTTAAAAATTTCACCCTCACTGATTCGACCACAATGGCCATAATAATCAACGATTGCCTTTTGAAATCGAAACGGTTGTTAAACTTGCTAAACTCCGCTTTAATTCAGTAATTCCGATTGCGACTTGAGTACGTCATATACATTATCTATATAGAAAATCATTATTAATATTTTAATTATTTAATAATTCTGTTGATATCGAGAAGCGGGTTTGTTATTAAACAATATATCAATAACATGTTTGTAAACCACGACCGCTTTATACGGATCGCGGCTTTGTGTAATTATCATTATTATCACACACCATCTTATCTCTTAATGAAATAAAGCGCTTAAACCACTACACTAATGTACAGTCGGATACATAACCGTAATCTGATAATATGTTTAGATTGTTTAAATAGTTTCATTTATATTAAATCATATAGTATATTTTCAGTACATATTAAACAGCTATTAAATTTAAAATAATTTGTAGTTTCATTAACACTTTTGTTGATAATTGTACCGTTTGGTGACGGAAACATGTTTCGATAGTTTAATGATAGTATTGTATGCCAGTGACGAATTATGTAGCGTAAGCAAATAAGCATCTAATGGCTTTTTTATTGAAAGTATCCAATAATTAAAAAGGTATAAAATTGTTCCATAGGTAGGTACTTGTTGCAATAGCAGTTAAAAAACAAAGCTCAATTATAACTTACCTTGGAAATTTTTAGCATATTTTGATTTATTAATTTCCGAATTATTCAATTGTTTGAAATTTAAATAAAATTTGATAAAGACCGGAATTGATTGAAAATGAGCTTTTTTTACATTTATAATGAAATGTATGACAGAACCTAATTTCTTTGGTAATGATAATCGAGACGAACACAATACTCGGACATAAAGGTCATGTATTGATATGGTATATATTAACTGATACAGCGTGTTTAAAAAACATAAATTTACAAATTTGATGGTATGAAAAAAATATATAAGTAAGTTAGTTTAAAGATACTCGTAAGTACTAAATCAAACAGTCTGTAAAATAAATTTCTTTATTGATGTTATAAATATTATATTTTATCATTATATTTGATATTTTTTATAATAAAAATTTAATTATTATTAATTAATTTAATATGAATCATCCTGTGTATGTATTTTTTCCGGTCGGTCACAATCTGACCGTTACATTTCAATAATCGTCTTAACATTCATGATTTTATCTCACCGCGCCCACCTCTAGTGATGATCCCAGACAACAGAGATCGATAAAAAAATGAATTCATAATGCTTGCTATAGTAATCCATGCTTTGAATATTGAATATAATATTAAAATAATCGTACAATCTTATGTTATTTTATTACTTGTATTCCAGAAACATGACTCGATGTCGATTATATTTATTCGCTTTTGTCAAATGTCCATCACTACTTAACCTTGTTAAGACTAAATATTACAATGGTAGTCAATAAAAAGTACCGCGGCTTCACAATGAGCAATCAAATTACTGTCAAAACTGTAAATGGGCGCAGCTTTGCTACGCGTTTTTATCATCAAACTTCTATTGATCATTTATTAATATTAACATTATTTTATTAACAATATTAACCAATAGCTTGAAGGCGTATTGTTTATCAGCATAGAAATATTTCTTCCGTGTTGATAGTGTTACGTATAGATTTCAATATCAACATTCTTAACCCGGACGGGTGTACGTGATTTCGGCGCGCGTATATTTCATAAGATTTTAGAGGTGCATGAATCACCCGGGACACGGAGGGGCTATCAGTCACGGCTGCCGACATACCCGGGCCGTAGACCTTCTGTTTAACATGCGTACCACGAACCCACCCTAGGCCTACACTACGATATGTGAGAGCTATTACTAGACACTTTGCCCGCGTTAATATTCGCGTATATCACCCATCGGAAAGGCGCATCCATCTTTATATCAAGTTAATGTTTTTCTTCTTGTTGCAGAGCCGAGCAACTACGTCTGTTCAACGTGCAAAGCGCGAGTACACTCTGCATGGAGACTGGTCCAGCACGTTCAGCACGTGCATGGCGTAAAAATTTACGTCGAGAGCATGCCTCAGCAACTACCGAATAAACAGAATCATTCGTCATCGAGCACGTCTTCATCAAGCTCTGGTTGTTCTTCTACTGGTGCTCCATTACCGCCACCGTCACTACGACATCATCCTTTACTGCCCCCACCAGACATGCACTCTCCTTTTGGTGTGGGAGGTTTATTGAGGATGCCACTGCCGGGTAGCTTACCCCCACTAGCTCATCCTTCAGTACCACCGACACCTTTGTTTGCAAGACCAAATCATCACGATCATAGATTTAGAATGGAACAACTCGTGTCAGAGCAATTTCGCCATCACGGACTCAACTTGGCAGCAGCGGCCGCCGCTGTGGCAGCAAATTCTCTGCCACCACACCAGGCATTTCCGTCACCAGCCGATAGACCACCTATCGTTCCAACATCTTTAACAGGACGTGATAGGCCACCCGTATCACAACCTCTTTCTCTAGAACCCCAGCTGGATTTTTACTCGCAGCGCTTGCGGCAACTGGCCGGTACGACCAGTCCAGGGGCGGCCACAGGCAATTCGAGCTCTCCTAGCCCCAGGAAGCATTCACCGCCGTTCGCTTCCCCGTCGCCCTCCCGAGTCGGTCAGACTCCACCGGTGGGCGCCGGACCCGGAACGGTGGACACTCCTCGAGAAGCTATAAGAGCTCAGAGTTCCATATCACCAGAAAGACGGAATGAACCTCAAACAGCTGACGCACCACCTTCAGATAGGCCGTCTTCCACACCACCTACAAAGAGAAACAATGACGAAGCCATTCATACATGTGAATTCTGTGGGAAGAAATTCCGTTTTGAAAATAGCTTAATAGCTCACCGACGCATTCATACTGGAGAAAAACCTTTTAAATGTAATCAATGCGATGAAACATTTGAGAAAAATTCAAAATTAAAAAAGCACATGAAAGCTCATCGAGCAGCTGAAGGCAATACTGAAGACTTAGAATCCGGGGGAGACACTGGTGAAGATGATTCTGAAGATGACTTAGATGATGAGGAATTAGAAGGTGAAGAAGAAGAAGAAAATGAGGACGGAGAAGAGGTTGAAGAAGCTGAAGATCTTACCGTATCTAACCATAGTGCTCCTTCAGCGCCCCCACGAAAGCAAACTCCAGCGATACCTGCACATCCACCTACTGCATCCGTAGTTGGAGAACTCATGGATAAATTTGGATTATCTAATATTGCACAATATAGTGAAGCTTTTAAACAAGCTTTGCAAGAATCTGGTAATTCTTTAAAATGGCAATTGGCTAAAGACCGTGATAACAACAATGGTCCTCCTTCTGAAAAACCTAACGGTATGCCACCAACAGCGGCTCTTCGCTTAAAAGAGGAGTTTGCCAAAATGCCACCTCAGCCGCATCCATTATTTAACCCTTTTGAGAACCCCTTTGAAGCCTCTAAAAGGATGAAACTAGATATGGACAGGGGTGAAGGTTGGTGGCTACCAACATTACATGCTCAGCGGCCACCAGATAATATTTTTGACGGTCTAAAGAACAGCAGTAATGGTTTATTACAGAATCCATTATTAAAATCAAAAGATGGCCGCCGTAATGATACGTGTGAATTCTGCGGAAAGGTATTCAAAAACTGCTCTAATTTAACTGTCCATCGGAGATCGCATACCGGAGAAAAGCCATATAAATGTGAACTGTGTTCCTACGCATGTGCACAGAGTTCTAAACTAACGAGGCATATGAAAACTCACGGCCGGCTTGGGAAGGACGTGTACCGTTGCCGCTTCTGTGAGATGCCATTCTCTGTGCCATCTACCCTGGAGAAGCATATGCGAAAGTGTGTTGTGAATCAAAGTAATGGTGCTTCTCTCGCTTTATCCGATGATTCGAACGCATGTCGTGATGAGGCTTCGTGACTCTACCCGTGGGGTGGGCTCCGTTTGCCACCACCCGCGCCGCCCAGCCAAATATTCTAGATTTCTTTTAAATTATCGTTGCTTTCTCACATCGTAGAACACGCTGCGGATTAACGTCGTAGGTGGTATATGTTCAATTTCTAGTCTTAAGGAATGATTTATTTGACGATATATTTAATAATATACCTAATATATGTAATTGCAATATCAGCCCAAAAAATCCTAGTATCGAAGGGCATTACTTTAAATGATAGATACCTTAGTGACATATCCTTGTGTAAAGAAGTGTTGAGAGTTCAGGTTTCGTTGTTGGTGTTAGTTCGTGAAAGTTTTTTAGTTATTTCTTTCGGAGGCTGTATCTTTACGTTAGATATTTTTGATCTTGTTTTGACATGTTTTATTGATTGTAAAAAGGAAACCAATGCCAAAGTTAGCTACGTTGATTTATACATTAAAATAAATACACTTAGTTATAAGCTGTATAGTGTCAATTATGATAGGTTTTTTTCAGTATTTTCTAAGATCTTGTAGCTCCTTAGAGTTAAGTTGTTTAGTAATAGTAGGATATTATGTAATATACTAAGCAAATGTTTCCTATTCTAGTTAAAACTGTAAATAGTTGATGTAACTGTAACATGTAAATCGAGTACCTACCTGTGGATGTTCATATTTATAGACAACAATATTTCACAAATTATAAAATTACATTTCGGCAAGAACGGTGAGTTTCCTGTAATCGATAATTAGCTTTGTAGAAAGCAAGATTTGGAATCGTTTGTAACGGTAGGTGTTATTACCAACAAGGTACTTCTATATTTAATTAGTGTTTAAATTTATTAAATTATAAATTATCTAATGATACATTTTGATCTTTATCACCGTGCTTTTATTCTCGAAAGCCAGTTACTTTATTAAGACTGACAGGTGTATTCCAGATTTGTTTTGAATGTATGTATGTATGTGAACGACCTATTACATGTACCTTTAGTCCAAGCGTGAAATCTTTCAGTATACGTACTTAATATAAATTATAATAGAATTTATATTAGATAAATGTAAGTAAATTATAATAGATTACTCCGTTTTGTCTCCTAAATCTGATCTCCGTGCTAATCTTCACATACTTTCTATTTGGACCTCTTTACACGATAATAAATGCTAACATTTATGTCGTGTAGACAGATCCTTACTGTGGACACTTTTCACATTCAGATCATCGTTTTAATTTGATATGATATTCATAAATATATATACGTAACTATCAACTTAATATGAAATATTTGTTAGTATAACATAAGTGGTCTGTTTGTAAAAAGTTATTGTAGTTGGTACATGTACCCTTTACTTGCCTTATTTGTTTTGTTAAATTTAATTAAATGTTAATTTATTGCTTGACTGTACCATTACTGTAATTATTAGATCCTCTCTACGTCCGGTAGTCGTAGTTTTATTAGTACAAATAACTTAAAATAATTCTTGTTTTAATAATAAATTCTGTAATTAAAAACACGTAGAGGGGATTCATGACTAGACTAAGGATGACAAAAGGAGATGAAATAGCGAAAAAAAAAGACAAATTTTATTGTGTAATAAAATATGAACTGTTTTTATTATTTTTCATTTTTATTATTTTTATTTCAATAAATATCCATGATTTGTTAATTAAACATGTTTTTTTATTGTACCACTCGCACTCGACAGACACAATCAATTAATGAACGCAGTTCGTCAAATTGTTTTAGGACTGTGCGAACTCAAATAATTAAAATAAATAACAAATAAAATAAAGGATTTTTATTAATACAGCTCTCATGCATGTGAATGAAGTTTAGATCTGAAATTGAGAATAATTAAAATCATTATGGGATAAAACTATATATTTTTCACCCACACATATAAAATTCTCTTAAATCAGTGGTGGCCTAGTGGTTAAAAGGCCCGCCTCTCATGCACGAGGGTGCGGGTTCGATCCTGGCCCGGGCAAGTACCAATGTAATTTTTCCGAGTCATATGTACTTTCTAAGAGTATTTAGACATCACAGATTAATGCTGATTCCCAAAAAAGGGCTGATGTCAGGCAGGCGGTCGGTCGTAAAAACAAATAGCCAAAACTATTCACAACATGTAAGGCAGACACTGGCTATAGCCGGGAAATTGCCAGGTAGAAGAAGATATAAAATTCTCTTAATAAAAGTTAATGAACATATTTTATATCAATAGTACTTTTAGACATCTAAAAAAATCTTTGGTAAATTATTTAAAAAGCACATTTAATATTTTTTTCGGAAAATTTAATGATTGGTAGTAACTTTTTCTTTGTGAATAACAAATAGTTATTACGTCAAAGATACAATAGCTTATTAAAGATGGAATATATTATTAGCTTGTTTTTTACACATGAGCTGATACTAAATTTACAGACGTAGTACAAAACAAATAGTTATATTGTTATTTTACTCTTTATTATAAATAAAGAAAGTTTTTGAAAACTTACTATAAATACTTATTCGAAACTTTTTGAATGTTTCTTTTTATAGTTTGCTTAGATTCGATATATATAAACACAGCTACATATAATATTTTTAATTTTATTTTGAAATGCACAACAATATCGTCATTATTCATATATATATATTTACGAGATTCTTAAAATAAGTTGAATAAAAATCACTACATATTGCTTTTAATCGTAATAAGTCGTAACTTTTTTAAAATATGAAGTATGCAAAATGAACGTAACTATAATACTTAGGGTTACATCCGATGCAAAAAAACATTGTAAAATTTATAAAGGAAACCAGTTTATGAGAATTTAGATCTTAACTATAGTCAGTGATATGTTTTTAATTTAAAGAAACAGATACTTTTATCAATATTTTCTATTTAAAATTAATAAATTGAAATATGAAAAATAAATTTTATTGAAACAAAAAGGATTCAAGTATTTTACTAAACTTTGAAGCTCCTAAAACCTCTTTGGTATTAACTTCTTTTAAATTAATGGAATGAGTAACTAAGTACCTACGAAACTTATAAAGGACAAATATAATACCTCTTTTAATAAAAAAATATTATAATTTAATTTTAGGTAATAATTAATTCAAACGGGTACGAAATAAATATGAAAGGTTTATTTCAAACTTAATTAGAAAGTAAAAAACTTTTCATCTACACGAGCGACACGGGACAACGCAACGAACTCGTTGTTTGGTTATTACAACTAGCGCCACCTGTTAGCGAGTAGCAACAACAAATTGGAAGGAGCTATGTTTTATTTTTTTATTTTATTGAAATAAATATTTGTAATAAAATTAACTTAAAAATTTAAACCATGGCAGTAAATTAATTTAATTAAAAAAAATAAGTTGTTACTGATCTTGTTGTCGTGGTCAAAGAAATATTGACTTACATGTTGACTTTAAAAATTAATATTTCTATAAATTTTAAGAAAATAAATTGTTTTACTACTTTAATGAAAATTTGGTAATTGCATTGCACATTCTCATGAATTGTTTGAAAAATTTCTCGTATCCTTCTCGATGTTCTTTCTATGTATATTTACTTATCCAATAAGATACATATCGATTTTTAGTATCAAATGCATAAAAGTTTCACAAGATGGCATCACTTGAGAATGCAATAAGTTTCTGAAATTACAATATAGATGTCACTAACTAAAATCAATAATTCACTATGACATTATTTTTTAGTTACAAGCAAAGAAATTATGTGATTGTTTGTTCTCACTTCTTTATATTGAAAAATTCATAGATTTCTTTAAAATCTGCTTCTAAAATTTACGAGAAAAATAATATTCATTCAGTGGTGTAACTTTGTACGTAAATATGGTAATTTAAGTGGGACTTTGCTCTATTCCATAACAATAAAAGATATCTGAAGTTCCAACAACAGCAAAACCATGATCTATTATCCAAGCGAGACTCATTGAGTTCAGCTAATTAGTTAAAGCAGCCTGTAATGTTTAAACTTTCATCCGTGACTCTCTTGCGGCTGACCAAGGAAATATTTAATAAAGTACAAACAAGAAATAACCCTTTTATTACGTATTAAATATTGCGCAGTGCAGATGTTTCTCCTCTTATGAGACAATATTCTAGTTGGACTTACATTCTTATAGCTTTAATTGAATTCACAAAAACCATCGGGATAATTTCAAATCGAGTAAATCATTCACCCATATAAATTGGTACCATAAATGGTAACACTAACACATACTAAAGTAGATATGAAAATCCACCTTTAATACAACAGAAATAAGGATGATAAAGGCATATTTTTGGATTTAATAAAAATCTTGTTGGAATGAATCGGACCCTCCATATTAACCCTTGAGTGTTCGGCCCTCTTATGTTGACCAATGGGTATTTTAGGCCCCACCCTATCGGACATTGAACAATTTAGGGTTGCTTGTACTGTTCTTATTTTGGCATTTAGTTGTACTATGCGTATATTTTTTGAGGCTTAATAATGTTTTTCTGTCTTTATTTTATAAAATTAGAAGTTAATCTAGTTGTCACAAGGATTAGTGTCGAAAAATGATTTTATACTTAGTACTTATTTCCAATTTATTTAGGACTTAAAATAAGCTTCTTTCTATAGATAATTGCAAATTGTATGTTACCTAAATTGTGGTGTAGCATACTTTGTGATCAAAATTTCATGTGTAACAAAAAGTAAAGAATAAAAAATACTTTTTATAGAATAATGAAGACACAAAAAAATACCTAACTACATAAAGGCTTCCGGCATAAGTTAGAATAAATAATAATTAATTTTTAAGTACCTATGTAATACATTCAAATATATATTTTTTATTGAAAAAGAGCTGTCGATAAAAAAAGTATGTTGTCATTAAAAAATCACGACACATATGAATCTCTTTTGTTTTAAGGCAAAAAACTGTATATTTTCAAAAACTATCCATCACGGTGCATTAAAACTGATTTTATTTTAACATTATTATTAGAAAATATAAATGC